AAGGACCCTGTTTTCTGACCCTGGCTCCCCACGGCTCTGAACCCCGTGACTGGAAGGAAGCCTCAGTTTCCCTCCCATCCCTCCCCCATCCGCAGCCTCGGTGGTGCTAGCACCAAGATAACCCAGGGCACTGCAAACTCAGGCCCTTCGAAGGGCTGGGTGGGGCTGCGGGGACAGAGGCTGAAGGGGGCATTCATTTCCCTGCTGGGCTGATCTGTTACCACATCTTGTGACTTTCAAGAGAAACCAGAAGCCAGGACTTATGCGAAACCTTCTGGTTGTTAAATGTTGGCAATTCATTCACAATTGATGTATGCAGGGAGTTCAGCGGAAACATGTCTGGGGAAACCCAGTTTGCTGCCTCTTGTCCACTGGGCGGATCATCCCACCAAACCCTTTCCACAGAGCCTGCCCTGCCGTCTCCTCATCTGTGACCCACCCTTCAGACAGGGAACACCAAAGAGCACCCGTGTCCGTGTCACTTCCCGGAGAGGCAGCGGCGTCTGCACTTGTCACGTCTCAGCTGCTCTTTGGCAGGGAAGACCCAGTCCCAGGCCTCCCCAGGGGGCTGCACCTTGGTAAGCAGAACCTTCTCCCCGCCCCCTCCATCCCTCCTCTTCCTCCCTTTCCCAGAGCTCCTGCGGGGGAGGCCGGTGTGGGAGTGGGTCCCACGTGCTCCTCCACTGGCCTGTTGTTCTTGTGCTCCAATAACTGGTTGCAGTTTTCTTCTACTTGATGGGTTCACTGATACACGAGGCCTATAAAGCAACGCTTTGGTTAGCCCTGCCGGACGCTTCTTCCTAGACCCAGTGCAAAAACTACCAGCACTTAAAGGCCCTCTCCTCACACCGGCTAAGTGGTAAAAGTTAACAGCAGTGTCTTGGTAGAGAGTGACCTTCCTGGGACAGTTATGACCCACCTGAATCAGTTCTCACCCAGGAGGAAGAGATGTCAGTGCTTAGTGTGGGGCCTCTCATCCTCTGCCCTGGGGAAGTTTAAAAAACTCCAAGAGCCCAGGAGTTCTATTCTAATTGAGGTGACTCTAATCCGAAGACAGGGTTGAAAGTCTTGCTGGGTGGTCAGATCATTAAAGGGGAGGGCCTCCACCTTCAGCTCAGAGGGGGAGACCCAGCCTTCCTTAAAGAAAAAAAAAATAGGACTGCTCTCTTGCTCTCTTCCGGAAAAAATCCCACAAAGAAATCATTGAAATAAGATGTATTTTATTTTCTAATAAAGTGTACCTGTAGTCAACAGAACTGTGGGAGGCATCGACACAGGAGGCTTTCCTACTGTGAGCACCCAGGACACTGCCCCCGGATTTTCTGACGCCCTCACTACCTGCTCAAATGCAGGCCCACCTAAGCCTTCTTCGGCTGCCAGAGAATGTTCTTTCACCCAGACTCTCCTGCCCTTGTGTCTGTTCAAGACTTCTCTGGCTGCGGTTTGCATGCAGTCGCCTCCTCTTTCCATCTAAGCTGTAAGTTCCTCAAAGGTGGGCTGGGACCTCCCATCACCACCGCAGCTCCCACAGCCCGGCCTCACGTCTTTGCTTGAGTCACCAGCAGCGGCCCTCTATCGTCCAATGCAGAGCCATCTTTAGGCTTCCGTGGGTGCCTCCCTGGTGAGGAAGAGGCCACAAGGCCATTTTTAGGTCTTCGGAATTTTCAGGAAATTAGCTCAGCTAAGCCGTTCCCAGGTAAGCACATTTAGTCATGGAGCAAACTACAGAGGGGGAGAGGAAATGTTACCCTCCCAGACTCAAAGTGGAGTCCTAGCAAAGTGGGCCTCTGGTGAGCGTCCGTCCTGAGGCTTGATCCACAACCCTCCTCTCCAGCTCCACACTGCTAGGCCAGACTGCTTTCCACTGAAGCCTGGCAAGAGTGAGGATGAAATGGCTGGGGCTGGGCAACCCCTTTGGGTACCCTCCGACTCTGGGAGCTTTTCAGTCCTCTCAATAAATCCTGCTTAAAAAAGGAAAAACAGCTGGGCTCGGTGGCTCAGCCTGTAATCCCGTGCCTTTGGGAGGCTGAGGTGAGTGGATCGCCTGAGCCCGTGGGTTTGAGACCTGCCTGGGCAACTTGGCGAGACCTCATCTCTACAATAAATCAAAAATTAGCTGGGCGTGGTGGCACATGCCTGTAGTTCTGGCTACTCGGAAGGCTGAGGCCGAAGTATCACCTCAGCCCAGCAGGTCGAATCTGGGGTGGCCATGAGCATGACACTGCACTCCAGCCTGGGTAACGGAGTGAGACTCTGACTCAAACAAACAAAAAAACTAAATGGCTTGGGCTGCCACTGCCACCTGAGAGCATGTGATTATCCTGGGAATGGAGACCATGCCCCATAAAACTACAAGATGGCTGAGGCTCTGGCACGGCAATGGGCCAGGCCTGTCTCAGACCGACCACCTCTGACTATGTGGACATGGGAGAGAAATAGTCTTGTTTAAGCTACCACTGGACAGGCATGGTGGCTCAGGCCTGTAATCCCAGCACTTTGGGAGGCTGAAGTGGGAGGATTGCTTGAGGCCAGGAGTTCAAGACAAGCTCCAGCAACATAGTGAGACCCCCAGTCTCTATTAAACAAAAAAACTATCCAAGTGGTATTAAACAAAAAGTCACTATTATGTTGAGCATTTTTGATACCAAATTTAAGAGTTAATGTCCTCCTCCTGCTTTGTACCTCTCCTGTGTGAAACTGGGACACACACTGAGTGACATGGGGTTTTAAAGGTATTTGGACTCTTCCTTCCTTCATGAACAGGCCGTGGAGCTCCGTCTCCATGACCAGAGCACTTATTCTGGGATGTCCTAATGACTGACTCCCTGGTCTGTCCTCCTGCAAGGCCATAGGGAGAGACCTGTCAGGAACACTTTTTTTGAGACAGGGTCTCACTCTGTCATGCAGGCTGGAGTGCAGTGGCACAATCATGGCTCAGGGCAGCCATGACTTCCTGGGCTCAGGTAATCTTCTCATCTTAGCCTCCTGAGTAGCTGAGACCACAGGCCCACACCACCACACCCGGCCAATTTTTGTACTTTATGTAGAGACGAGGTCTCAGTATGTTGCCCAGGCTGGTCTCCAACTCATGGGCTCAAGCGATTTTCCTTCCTCAGCCTCCCCAATTGGCTAGGATTACAGGTGTGAGCCATCATGCCTGGCCAGGACACTGTCATTTTACATCCGTGTTTCTGGAACCTGGTACAGGATCTAATGCTGTCTAAAAAGAAGGAAACTGGTTCTTCTGAAGAAAGCAGAGAACACCGAAGTGTTTTCTACCTCAGGGAAAATCCAATGTGCCAATCTAGGCCCCAAGTCTGACCCTCTGCCAGGTGAGCGTCGTGAGCACCCCTCTCTCCCTAGAGCTTAGTGCTTCACGGATGCTTGTGGACACTTGCCTGGAAGATAGTATGGATTGTCATCATTCTTGAATAAGAACTGTAACCCCACAAGAGTTAAGAACCACTGCACTGGAAGAACTGCTGTTTAAAACAAAAAAAATTGTTTTGTAAAACTTAAAATTACTTGCTTTCCACTAGAGGATGTAATTAACATTTGTTGTGGTTGCATCTACCTCAACTTTTCTATCCTGGAAAGTTAAAAATTATGTTTAAATGTGGTTGTGAATATCTTCCCCACCTGTTATAAGATCTCTTCAAAAAATAGAATTGTTAACTGAAAGAAATATCCTAGAAACATTTATAGAGCAAGTAAAAGCAGCCATGGTTAGAGTTGGAGACTTCACCATCACTTAGTTTTAAGTACCAGTCTGGCTCCAAAAATGGATACATCCTAACGAATGGCTGGCCCTGGGCCAGCTCTGGGTGGGTGTTGCTACTGGTGTCCCACCAAGTGGCCAGAGTTGAGGCACACTCTTGCTACCTCAGCAGTGTTCTCACGGCAAGGTATGCGTACCTTCATGCTAGGACTATGTCAATCGCCAAGGGCCCTCTTTTGTCGAATCTCAAAAACAAGTATACAATGTGCATTTAATTACATTCAATCAATTCCAGTTAACTTACGATAGCTCAGAAAACTTAAGAGAAAGCAAACATAAGACATAAAAAAGTACTTGAAAAATGAGTGACATATTGGAGAGCGACAAGTTCCCACGTGGCAGCCAGGAGTCATAATTTAAATGGAACACAGAAGAAAAGCAAAGTGACTGCAATTTATTCCTCTACCTATGCTTTCCCAGGATAGTTCAAATACTAGAAGTAGCCACAAAGCGCCACCTTCCGGTTTAAAACTGCGCGACATCTCCTTTATTTCTTTTAAATGCCATTTTATGGTGACGTATAAAGCAACAGCAGCAGTTACAAAATGTTGTCTGAGTAATTCTGAGAGCTCAAAACAAGGATCTGTGTATAGGCTGAATAAAAAGATGTTCAATTAAGAGTGCATGTTGTGTAACTTCAACAAACATCTTCGGCTGGAATTTCTGTGTAAACCTTAATAGAGACGCGGCTCTTGGAGACCAAAAGTAAACTCTCTTTTCCTTTACAGTTTGGTGAGGCGGTCTGCATTCTGGCAAACGATTTACAAAGTACAAGAAATGTTGCGTGTGAGCACAAGGCATAAAATATTTCTTTTTCTTACAGAAGGAGCAGCAGGACAGGGAACCCAACGGACATCCTGCCACCACCTTTCCCAAAGATATACACCCCCAAGAATGGCAGTGGACACCTGACAGCAAGTCACCTTTACAATCCTTTTTGGTTGTTTAAAATACAAACGCTTGGCTGGGCTCAGTGGCTCAGCCTGTAATCCCGCGCCTTTGGGAGGCTGAGGTGAGTGGACTGCCTGAGCCTGCGGGTTCGAGACCCACCTGGGCAGGCGAGACCTCATCTCTACAATAAATCAAAAAATCAGCCGGGCGTGGTAGCGCGCGCCTGTAATTCCGGCTACTCGGAAGGCTGAGGTGGAAGGATGGCCAGAGCCCAGCAGGTCGAGGCTGCGGTGGCCGGGAGCGGTGGCCAGTCTGGGTGACAGAGTGAGACTCCAACTCAAAAAAAAAAAACAAAAAAACAAAAACAAATACAAGCACTTTCTGACATTTCTTCCCTGGCCCATGAGCCCACCCCAACTTGGCAGGATCCAACCCACGTCCTCGTGCTTAGTTTTCCCCTTAGAGTTATTTACAGGACGCCTACAGATACGGTACAAACTAGTATGAAATTAATGAGTTTGCGCTTCCAGACACACTCCCGTGGTTAAATAAATATACCACGCCGATTCCGGAGGACAGTTCCAAGTTAAGGAGACTCAGAAGCATTTGCATCCAAAGCTGCAGAAACAGCCTTCTCGTTGGCTGGAGCCAAGTCGCCGACTCTGTCCTCAACAGCAGTGGGGGCCTTGGAGGCAGGGGCTGTCACATCCACAGTGAGTGAGGAGGCAGCATCTGCCTTTGCAGTAGTCATGACAGGGTCAGAAGGTGGGCTGCCGGTGGGAGGGAGGGAAGACAGCAGCTCCCCTGAGTTTGCTGCAGGAGAGCCTTCTGGAACCAAAGGGAATGATGGGAGGAACTCGGAAGGCATGGGGAGAGGTGCAATGCCAGGGAGGTTTCGGGGAGGCAAAGAAGGAAGAGGTGGCAAACCTAGGACAAAAACAGCAGAGGTCACATATACTCCCCAAGTTAAAAGAGCAGTTGTCACAGTCAAATGACATTTTTTTTGAGTCAGAGTCTCACTCTGTCGTCCAGGCTGTAGTGCAGTGGTACGCTCACAGCCACTGCAGCCTCGACCTGCTGGGCTCAGGTGATCCTCTGCCTCAGCCTCCAAGTGGCTAGAACCACAGGCATGCGCCACCAAGCCCTGCTGATTTTTTAAATTTTAATTTTTATTGTAGAGATGAGCTCTTGCCAAGTTGCCCAGGCTGGTCTCATATCCCTGAGCTCAAGCACTCCTCTTGCCTCTGCCTCCCAAAGTGCTGGAATTACAGGCATGAGCCACCATGCCAGGCCTGTCAAATTACTTTTTTTTTTTTTTTTTTTGAGTTGGAGTCTCACTCTGTCACCCAGGCTGGAGTGCAGTGGCATGCTCATGGCCACCACAACCTAGACCTGATGGACTCAGGCGATCCTTCTGCCTCAGCCTTCCAAGTAGGTAGAACTACAGGCACGCACCACTATGCCTGGCTAATTTTTTGAGTTATTGTAGAAATGGGTTCTCACCAAGTTGCCCAGGATGATCTCGAACCTGTGGACTCAGGCAACCCTCTCACCTCAGCTTCCCAAAGTGCTGGGATTATAGGCGTGAGCCACCCTGCCCAGCCTCAAACGACTTTTTATTTGCATTTTAAGGACACTGAAGTTGAGGAGATGACACAAATACAGCCTTTGCTAATCTCTAGTTAGAGGCCATGGCAGGGTTCAATATTCCCTTGCAATGGCAGCTGGCCAGGAGAAAATGTTCTGGGCTTCTAGACTCCAAGTGACTTGCCCAGCACGAAGGGAAGAAACATCCTCCCAGGCAGGACAGCCAGGAGCCTACACAGCAGGTGATGCTGGATGTGGGACAGGAGGAGGCCCGCTCCCCCAGGCAAGCTGCAAGTTCAGTTACAGCTATACTCTGGACAGACAATAGGAAGGAGAGATGGAGAGGACAAGCCTCTTCCGTCGCTGAGGAAGGGGAGGCCTTGGATCGCAGCCCCACCATAAGCCTTGCTGTAGGTTCCTCACCCTTGGGTTAGCCGTGTGACTGGAAACTTCTACACTGTGCATGGTGGGCTTATTCTGACGATTTAAAATGCAGAATGGGCCGGGTTCGGTGGCTCAGCCTGTAATCCCAGCACTTTGGGAGGCCGAGGCGAGAGGACTGCCTGACCCGCGGGTTCGAGACCCGCCTGGGGAATTTGGTGAGACCTCATCTCTACAATAAATAAAAAATTAGCTGGGTGTGGCAGTGCGTGCCTGTAGTTCCAGCTACTTGGAAGGCTGAGGAGGAAGGATCACCGGAGCACAGCAGTGCATCGCTGTGGTGGCCAGGAGCGTGCCCCTGCATTCCAGTCTGGGCGACTGAGAGAGACTCCAACTCAAAAAAGAAAAAAAGAAAGGAAAGATAGAGTGAATGCTAGAAAAGGAGACAGCGTTTAAGTTTGCTAGTACTTCCTTTGCGTTTTAAACCCTTGTGCAAGTATGTTAAGGAAAATATGTAGATGGTGAGTGTTATAAGAGGGCCAATTACCTAGACAGAAACGCAACAGTGACAATGCACATCACAGTGCTGTAAGATCACGCACTGGCTTTGCTGATGGACCACAGGCAGCTAGCCACAGCCAGTCCCCTTGAAAGTTAAGGCGACCTTGCTGATCATTAACTGTATGTGCAGCTTGTGGGACACTGCTTTCAGTTTTGATGCACAAAACCTGAGTGTGGACACTTGGAATATCTGCTCTTGACTGTCTCCAGAGAAAATCTCTCATTATAAATCATTCATTATAGCCGGGCTCGGTGGCTCAGCCTATAATCCCGCGCCTTTGGGAGGCTGAGGTGAGTGGATTGCCTGAGCCTGCGGGTTCGAGACCCGCCTGGGCAGGTGAGACCTCATCTCTACAATAAAATTAAAAAATGAGCCGGGCGTGGTAGCGCGCACCTGTAATTCTGGCTACTCGGAAGGCTGAAGCGGAAGGATCGCCAGAGCCCAGCAGGTTGAGGCTGTGGTGGCCGGGAGTGGCCACTGCACTCCAGTCTGGGTGACAGAGTGAGACTCCAACTCAAAAAAACAAACAAATAAATCATTCATTACAAAAGCATTTGTAATGGAGAGTATTTATCTAATAACAAGCCCAGCCAGCTGAGCAGAGGTGATAGTTTTATGGCCTAGGTTTCTGGGCCTGGGCTGCATAAAACAGGCACCATGACTCCCTAGTGGGAGCTGCTCCAAATATGCAGAGAGTACTGGGAACTCATTCACCTCCAGGGGAGGCCTGCAGACCTCCATCAAGGTCAGCACACAGGGCCATGCTGCTGTGCTTTATTGCTATACCAGGCCTTTCTAGGGCTGAGCTGGCAGGGAGAGAAGGGGGAGGAGAGGCAGCCTGCAGGGAGACTACAGACACACTTTTCTTTCCTCTTAAGCTTTTCAAACAAAAAAGATGACTATTTATTTGAAGTAGCTGAAATTTGTTAAACTGAATTGCCCTTTCTAGAAGAAACTGAAATAGAGATTGGCATTCCTGAATAAAGCCTTTTATTAGAGAGTCCTAGGAGGGAAAGATGTGCAACGTACCTGGGTTCACGAGTTCTGGTAAGCCAACTCCTGGCATGATGTGCGGTGCGGGGAGGTTGAGGTTGGGGAGGCTGGGGAGGTTAGGTAGTCCTGCTGGTAAAGGCATCAGACCTGAGGGCAGAGAACAAAAGGGAAATCACTGCATGCCTTTCCAGAAGTCCTCTGGGCATGCGGCAGTTCTATACCCTAGTCACATTAACTACAACAAGTGATGAGATGTGTGAGGTGGCTAAAGGGGTAAGGCTAAGACAAATAACTGACACTCTTGAAGCTCTGGAAGAATGGTAATGGCCTGAGTGCCTTGGGAAAAGGCTGATTTATTTCAGTAACGATGGCAGTAAATGGAACAGAGTTTTTCTTTGATGGTTGAGGTTTACAGTCTTTTTGGCTTTCTTTTTTATTTTTTATTCTGAAATAATTACAGACTTATAGTTGTGAAAGTAGTAAAAATAATTCTCACATACAACTTCCACCCAAAGCTCCACAAGGTAACATGCTCCACAAGGTTACATACTTGCTTCATCAATGTGTGTGTGTCTGTGTGTGTGTGTGTGTGTGTGTGTGTGTGTGTGTGTGTGTGTGTACGTGTGTATGCATATCTGGTTCAAGGCTTCTTAGGCCTGTGTAACATCTTTAGCTAGAGTCCCCACAATTAAAACATAATTTATCACTGAAATAATATTTGGTTGCTATTAGCTGGATGAAGGGACTTGGTCTTCACTAGAATACTAAGAGAAATACATGAAAATTTAATTTATTGACAGCTCCTGAAGATCTGAATAAGGAGCGTTGTCTTCTGGGACATAACTCACATAAACAGCTAACAGAAAGTTCTCACCAAGGAGGCACTGAAGGATGGACTCGCACACCATCCTCCTTCCTGCCTCATGCTGCACTGTGGGACTGGGCAGTAGCTGGCTGGGGACAAGGGGGCCTAGGCCCGGTAGCTAACTAGTTGATAACTAATATCTGTTTCCTCATCTACTAAGGAGAGTTGCCCTCATTTCTTGCAAAGTCACTGCAGAGATAAAACAAGATTAAAAGACATAAAAAGTCACCACACAAGTGCAATTTTTTTTTTTACTGCGCTTAAGATATAGATGTCAGTAATGGTCCTAGTCTCCTGCCGCTTACCTGGTAATGTAGTAGAGGGGTTCATTGGTGGCATAGAAGTGAGGTTTACTTGTGGTGGCAATAATGGTACTGTTGGTACACCTAAAATAAAAACACAATATTTAAAAAATTCAGTTGACAGCCGGGCTCAGTGGCTCAGCCTGTAATCCCGTGCTTTGGGAGGCAGAGGTGGGTGGATTGCCTGAGCCCGCGGGTTCGAGACCCGCCTGGCCAGCTTGGTGAGAACTTCATCTCTACAATAAATCAAAAAATTAGCCAGGTGTGGTAGCGTGTGCCTGTAATTCTGGCTACTTGGAAGGCTGAGGCGGAAGGATCACCGGA